CAAAGGTGGGTCCTATTTTTCTACTTGCATTTTTCCATGCTTTCGAACTGCTAGGTTGGGAGAAGCTGGGACAAGTAATGGGAGCTCATTCGGTTACGTGGCACTAGGGATTCGAACCGCTGAATTGCCAACCTTTCTGATCGACAAGCTCAGCGTCTTAGCTACTGAGCTACCACGTCCCTGTTGTCTTGTCACAAAGTCTGTCCCTAATTAGGGCTAAAAGAGTGTCACTGGCCAAGGCAATCCAGTTGGCTTCTATGCTAGATCCTGGATCTCCTTAACCCTACATCACACTAGTTCTCTGGGCTGTGCTAGAAGGGAATGAATCCTACTACAAAAACATTTCATTCCCCACCAACTAACTTGAAAAAAGTTAACCACCCTGGCTTTCGTTTTAACAACCCTTCCAATATGGGTGCCATGCCTAAAATCGGAAGTTATTTAAAATAGAAACACAAAATGTATGTATTTCAAAAAGCCATTTTATTGTTTCAATTTCAACAATTACATTTCAGGCACTGCAATTCGAATGATTGCTTCAAAAATACAAAAATGTGTATGCTACATAATATGCCACTGCGAGTAACTCTCTCAGAATAAATCAGTTTATTCCATTTCTCCATTTAAAATGGCCAGAGCTAGCTCTGAATACATGGAAAAATTTACTTGATTTTTTTTCTAATTTACTTCAATTTTTCCATGATTGAAAAGGAAAGAAAAGCTAGCAGGGACCTGAAACTGACATGCAATGTCATTTCTATCAACAATAGAAATGAAAGAAAGATCATGTTCATGATTTATTGAACATTTTTCATTCAACTAAAGTTCCACTGCAAAGGCATTTTTGGTCCAGTTCTAGTACAGCGACAAGTAAACAAACATAAATGATAAAATTCGGACCATGTTAGATAGAATTGCAGGCAAATAACCTGTTTCCCCCAAAATAAGACCTCCCCGGATAATAAGCCCGATCAGGCTTTTGAGCGCATGTGCTAAAATAAGCCCTGCCCTGAAAATAAGTCCTCCCAGAAAATATTGTAACACAGCAGCAGCCATGAGGTGACCACTCTTGCCGCCTCCTGCACTTCAAAAATAATAAGACCTCAAAAATAAGGCCAAGTGCTTATTTCGGGGGTCAAAAGAAAAGCCGCTGTTTTATTTTCGGGGAAACATGGTATATGTTACCTCAGAGTAATGCAGCACTTAGGTTTAGGACAAGCAAAATGTACATTAAAAAAAACTTAATAATGCTTTGAAATTGTGGCCATTTAGAAAAGATCCTTCACAATATGTACTGTCGGTCAGAAAAATTAACAAAAAAACTATGCTTTTCTTAAATCACAGTCTTTGACAGACTTATTTTCACACACTGATAACTATACAATGAAGGAGTCTAATACAAATAAGTTATGGAAGTTCATTTTCATAACATAATTTAGTGAATCTTGAATTTTCATTTCACTGGGCGGGAGATTAACATTCCCATTTCCAGCAAGGGAAATAGGCATAAGATTGCTACCAGAAAGAGAGGATAGGTTTGTATCATAGTTTATAAACAGGAAAAAAAAATATAGCTGGGCTATTAAAACCCTTAGATGCTCTTAACAGTACAATTGTCCCATTAAGCACTATATTTATTTTAATGGCGAGAACACTGTAGGAAGCAGGAGGCTGTTCTGTTGGGATTCCAGAAATTGAACGCTTTCTCGAACTAAAAACAAATCACACAAGCAATTAAACGATTAATAGTGGTGTGTGTGTGTATGTATGAGTATGTATGTATGTATGTATGTATGTATGTATGTATGTATGTATGTATGTATGTATGT